GAGTTATCGTTTAGCAGGCACTCACGGGCATTTGGATGTGGACAGAGGTTCTTTCGCGTGCAGATATCTGAACCTTGCAATGAGTATGAATCCAGCGTAGACTACATTCATATATTGTGCAGAACCGAACGTCACTTTGTGAAATGACGACGACTCCCTCCATGTTCCGGCATTTCTCGCCGTGCAATACCTGGTACTTCTTTTGGGAACTGTCGTGCAGTAAACGGATGATGTTTCTTGTACCATTTTCAGGCACGTCGCGTGTTGTCCTGCTGTGAACTATTGCTGCTTGCGCACACAGCTGGGCGCTCTGGAGGACGTGAAAATCTCATCTCCCGACGACCTCCCCGTCGGATTCGAGCCATTACAGTTGGCGCCCGCAGCTAAGAAACGCTTATTTCAGGTCCAGCCTCGAATTCTTATTGTGGGCTATTAACTCAGCGTATGTCGTTCAGTTTCTTATTTCAAGTTTCTTATTTTTTCGTGCAGCCAAATCCTGCTGAATTTCATATATTGGCAATTTCTTAATATTTCTCTGCTTGCATACTACACAACGTTCCAAATTAACAAATGATTTGCACTGCTTTCCTCAACCCCCGTACTCAACCCCGATTCTCACTACCGACGGCTGCACGTAAGGCCACTCCCTAGAAGCGAAATGTATCCAGCGGCAACGTCTCGCTATCGCTACAAGGTTCTGTACCCCCCTCATGAGTGAGGGCTGAAACTAAACAAATGCATCAACACCGCGTGATGCCTCACCCGCACGCTGACGTGCCCAACAACGAAAAGTACCCCGTCATTATGATGCAAGATCCGTGAGGCGAACATTGGGGGTTGTAACCCTTTTGCGCCCCGCGCTCCCTTCCTATCTTTTTGAGACATTTCTTATTGTGTGACCCAGATTAAGCTATGTTTCTTAACCCTATTTTCATATTTTTTGTGAAAAAGCGAGCCTCGATCTCTTAACAAAATATTTCTTAACGTCGGGCGCCAACTGTATTCCTGTTCATAGTGACCGGGGTGCTGCGCTCGTGGGGTATAGTACTCCTGGTCGACTCCGACGGAGCGACCGAAGCGATCTTAACCACACTCAAAGCATCGTTCGGCATCAAATGCACGAAGCGCAATAATACTGTTTATCATCTGGCCTGTATTGAATAAATACAAGTGTTCCATCACGCCGTCATCCCGGCCGCACACCTCCCCTCATTGTGTTACGACATTTTTGGACGGGACTACACTCTTCGCATACGAACCCACCGTGAAATTTACTGTGTACATCACACCACTATGCATGTATGTACTCGCGCCCCTTCTATTTTAAAGCTGCGTGCTCGAAGGCCACACTCAAGTTGGTCCTCCCGACCGAAACTGGTACATAGGAAGTAATTACAGCAGAACGAGAGCCCCGCATCGAAATATTGTCATTCATGCGAGCCTCAACACTGCTCGTTTCGTGCGCCGAAGCATACAGCGTGCCGAACCACAAGTTCTCATCGCGGGAAATAGTATATTTGCCACAAAAAAGGCATCGGGATTTACAGGGCATGAGGAGTATGAAGTATCACCTTCCGGCCGGCACACACACCGTTATAGACTTCCCCTCCCACCAACGCCCATATCGGACAGACAATTCGTACGTGTCAATCGCCAACAGCCAACAGCAAACAGGCACGGGCCAAGAGCACTACCGACGGCTGCTCGCTCGCTAGCTGTGGACTTGTTGTGTTCATGAAGCGTTTGTTTTGCCGCCTCCTGCGAGCTCTTTGCTGTCCTTGCGCACTCGCTCGTATTTTGTTCACTGTGCTACGCAGAAATCGTTTTTTTTGGTATCAAGTGTTTGTTGCATACCTTCGCTAGCTGTTGTTGGTCACGCCAAACGCATACATCCGTTTTTTCTCCCCTTTAACAGGTTTTGGGTACACCGACCCCGGACGACATCTGTTTTCCCTGTACGCTAGCACGATCTCGCGCATTTGGTAGTGAGTTTAGTCTCGACCTTGTAACGAGTCTTGCCCGGATGAGGAAAACATCCGAGACTGAGCATACCCGGCACACCCGTCGTGGCTTGCTGACTTCATTCCCTTGCGTTATGTGGGCAAGCTTGTTCGCCCCGCTGCTTGTTATTTTAGTTGGTGATGTTGACATCGCGTGAGTTTCTGCACAACTCATGCTGAGTATAATTTACCCACGTTCTTGTTGGATTTCAGCGCGGCTAGTAAGTGGGTTAATATAACAGTAGCTGATCTTCAGGCTTTTCGGCGACAACATGAACACGGAATCCAGCGTGAAATGGAACAAGGGTGGGGGCCGCTGACGCCAACCTATTATGATGTTGACTGATTCTGATAAAACGCAAGAGCACCAGAAAATTCACACGAGACACGCAACACCAGTCGGAAGGCATCCGGAAAAGCAGAAGCCGTTGATTCTCGTACGGGGCGGCAGTAGAGGCTGCTGTAAACATGGGCGTCGTACAGTCTATCTCCGTGCAAGCCCTTTGAAATCAAGTCAAATGAGCCATAAAGGAAGACGCTCAAGCACGGTCGGTTTCGCATTCTAGCTTTCGTTACTGATGCCATTATGACGAACCCACAATTCAACAATGGATCGAATCCGATGCCCAGACGGGGAGCAAGGTGTTCACTTCCTGCAGGGAACTGAACGATATGAGCCGCCACTGTTTCGCAGGAAATAATTCGATTGCGATGTCATGCGCAATTTCACGACGATACAGAGCCCAGAGTAGCAGTGTATGTCCGCAGGGCGTATCCGACGCAAATGAGATAGTCATCGTGGCTTCATCACTGGACATTCGTCATGACCGTGCGGTGGTAGTAGCCAACAGAGTCACCTTGCTTTCATTACTGATTGCAGCACGAAAGCACTCTATGACGCCAAGTGGTGGCAAATCAATGAACGAACGTGGAACGTTGTGTAGGCTGCATCAGTATCAAATACCCCGAGAATTCGAGCGAGGCGGCCGAGATCATCCACTGCCGACACTGGGGCTGTACCATTAAGTACTGAACGTGAGGGACGGTGCACTTGATGCATTGCACTTCATCCTACAAGATGTTTGAGTTGCTGAAACCATCTGTATCGAGTGGGCTCGGGGCCCTTTCCCCTCTCAATTAATCTGCATCGACAACCGACGTTGAGCAATTGCTAACCAATGAAAGCAGGGCACACCCCCACCCCTCCCGTGAATACCTTATTTCATGGGCCAACTGGATGATCCGCACCCACAGTTTTCATTGCCGTCTGTCTGGGCACCACACCTGGCTATGCTTGACCTTTCCCTCCCAATCGCTATTCACCTGCTGCTGCCTAGCCCCTCATATACATATTGCGTGGGATGAACCAACCACCTGCCATAGTTTTGACCCCTCCCAATGGGCGGGCTGACCTTTGATACAATACTCAGGGATTGTGCCGTAGACATGAATAATAGAACATGTACATCCCGGCGTTTCGCGACTCACATTCGTGGGTGCGTGGCGCCTCGATCGCAAACAATACTCCTGTGCCTCTGGCGACATTGCCGTAGGTGGTTCCGAATCCCTCCGGAATGACAAGCCTTGCGATTTTGAAATGAACCGCCGAATTTGGTCATGATTCTTGCAGGTGAAATCAAAAGATGACGGGAGATCCCGCCTGATCGACCCCCTCTTGCATCCAACCCTAAGGGCAACTTGAGGGTAGTAGGGAAAAGTTGAAGAAATCCTCCTGTGTGACCCCGGCTGGAGCGTCAGGGGCATACTGTAGTCTAGATATAGATACAAGTCTGCACCCAAGAGTACAAAAAAAAGGCGTCTGCAGTAGACTATGCATAGAACAGATGGGACAACCAACCAACGCTACAAGCTCACAGGATACCCTGAATCTGAATCTACTGTATGTATGTGCTTGCTATTGCTGTGTTGTTGTTCTTGTTCTTGTTGTCTTAACGTTTAATCCCGCCGATTGCAGCGTGCACACAATATCAAAATAGACTACTTTATGACTTCGAAAAAAGGGTGGCCCTAGAGCAACGATTGCAGGTCGATATGATGCACTTCAATAAGAATATTTTTCTCTTGTCATGCCGCACCACACTCTAATGCAAGTAGTCGTACTGTAGTATCAAACGACACGGACGGGTGGGAGTGGGAGTGGGAAGCAAGGTGAAGGCGCCATCACAGGTATGTAGATACTTGACTCGGGAGAAGAAGTCACCACCTTCTTCGGGTTATTGTCAAACGTCCCGATGGATCGGTCGATTCTAGAAACACACCTCACCAATCCACTTACTGAAAAGACTTTACCAAATCCCTTTCGTCTGAACTTATACCTCGAACGGGTAGTCTTTCTGTGAGGTCATGTTCACAACTAAATACACACCTCAACAGTGCAGTAGTCAACATATCGGCTCGAACGGGAAGCGGATGTTCGTTGATGTAGACTATGTGTTCGAGACAGACACGAACGGAAACAACAGCCGGTAAGACAACAGATAAGGTCCGCCAGACGCACGTCACTGCACGTGAAGCAAACCACGAAGAAGAAAAATACATGCAGCAGATTGTCCGGCCGCTCGAAACCACGCTTGGCGGGTGAACGGGTGAATGCGGAGCGGCCTACTGCGCCCGTTCGTGTTGAATCCTTCGAAGATCACCACAGGTTTGCTGGAAGAGACACACGTTGTTCGCCTTCCCGTCTCTCGTATCTACCGCACCTGCCCCATCTGTCATCTATCAGAGGCGCACGACCGGTGCGCACGACCGGTAATCTTGGGTCTGGGAACCACAGCGAATTGTCCAAAGGGTCAAATTATTTTATGCAAGAATGAAAATTGATTTCAAGTTCTGGATCCCACCCACCTGTAGCCCATTCCTCCGATGCTGGTGCTCCGCCCCGACAAACTGCCTTGCCTCTCTCACTCCTCTCTTTTGCTCTCTCTCCACGGAAAGCAAAAGTATTGATAGAAGCAATCAGAACACCGACAACACCGCACAATGACGACCACTGTCATCTCCTCTCCTCGGCGAGGCCGCCACCCTCCGGGCCTCGTCACGGTGGCGAAGCACCTTCTTCGGCTGCTGGTCCTGCTTGTTGTGCTCATCACCTCAGCCGCCGCTGACACCCATGGCCAAGACGGGGAGGAGCCAATAGGGGAACACGCCACCTACATTTACAGCTGCGACGATCTTGTAATGGACAGGACAGTCGTTCGCGGCTCCGTTGTCTTTATGGGCGACATCATCTGCGCTGATACCAAGGTGTGTGAGAGTCGCAGTCGCGTGTGATGAACTTCTTTCCGATGCCTGCATCCTCTGCGTGTCTGCATGTCTCTCTCTCTCCTGTCGTGCTTTTTGACTTCGTTGCATTTTGTCGAGGTGTCGGGCTTAATTTTGCCTCTGGCACCGAACCGGCTCATGAACCCCGAAAGTACGTTCGGAGATCTTTGGCAGGCTCAAAGCCAACTGCACGCGGTGCGATCGATCCACGCTCCCACCATGCATGATTTCGCCGTCAGTGAACGGGTAAGAGCGTTGATCGACTGCCACATCCTTCGTTCTCTTTACCTTCTTTGCTCATCTTATCTATTGGGTACAGCAGTACAAGAAACAAACATGCGAAATTCGGCGTACATGATTTTGTCTGGCGCTGCCACACCACGGGATGGGATAAAACGCTGTACGGCTTGGTACATGTAGACTACCCATCAGATCAGTGGTGAAATGACGGCAGCTTCATTGTTGGTCATCATGTCCTCGTGTTCTCTTCAGGTTTTTGGCATTCGCGTTATTTTTTCTCGTGGAATTGTTGCTCGTACAGTAGGCGATGTATTCCCGCAGATCAGAACGTGCTGCGGCTCTTCTGGATCCGGCTGCTGCTGCTGCTAGAGATTGCTGGTGAAACATCATCATGCTGTTGTGTTGGATCGTAAACTCGGTTCGTGGCAATCTGTAGCGCTCAGCCCACTTGCGGCGCGCGCCGCACCCCACAACAAAGCCGCCTCCAGGAAAGGGCGGTTCCATGCACTCCGTTCTTTGCTCGCCCTCGCATTTGCGCGACGCAACGAAGATTGACATCTGTACGGGCGGACGGGCGGATGTGGATTCGGTCCAACGGCAACTTCTGTGGTCGCAGATTGGAATGAAAATGAGTAGGGAGGGGGTGATTGATCCACCGGGCTCCGTGGGCTGGATTGCTCCGCCGCCGACATTGCCCCGCTGCACAACAACCAGTCCAGCCGCCACCGCCACTCCCTCTCTCTCTTCCATCTGTTGCTGTGTCACTCAGAGTCCTGGCAGCCAAGCTCATTAGACACTTGCACGGGTTAAAGCGAACAATGATTGTGCTGCTCCGAACAACAGATCATCGAGGTGGCTCAGGGCTACGGCGACGTCCTCATCTTTGCAGAGACCATCATGTGGACCAAGGGCGTCATCTTCGAAATTCCACAGGACACCAGGGTCGACTTCGGCGCGGCTGCTTTCGTCTTCGTAAGCAATGAGGTATGTTTAGTGTACGTACAGCCGGCAGCCAGCTGTCCTTGAGCCACATGGTTTCAGTTTTGTTCACACTCTCGAGGCCCAGCCCATTGTAAAAGCATTCCAGTTTCAAAATACCACAGCAGCAACGACAGTATTAATAGTACCGACAATACGGACGGAGACATGTAGACTAGATAGTCAAGAGTTTTATTTTTTCTCAACAAAATTATTTCGCAGCCAGCGAGAAAACGTGCCATGCGGATTACCCCACACACTGGGTTGTTTGGCCTGACTTGCAGCTACCCACCCACTACCCCTTTTCAGAACACGGCAACACAGGCTTCGTTGCCCAACGCAATTTCCTTCGCCCACCTCTCTCCGTTCCGACTCATTGATCTAACTTCGTTGCTCTTGTGGGGTATGGGTGTTGGTGTTGGTGGGTCACTGCTGCACTACATACAGGACAACATGGACGGCATCTTCCACGTGGATGGGATTCTGGGGTTCCATGCCGTAGGCCACGACTTCGAAGCCCCTGACGACGCCACACCGGTAGGCTGTCTGTCTCTTGGCTGTTCTTGGTTTGATAATGTATTGGTTGAGCGATGTTTGGTGGTTGCGGTGGTGGTGGCGGTGGTACTAATGATTTAGTGTCCCGTTCGCGTTGTTCTTGTTGTTGTTGGTGCCTGCCGTCATCGTGGCCTACGGGATGTCCGTCCGCGTGGTTCTAGGCATTGGAGTCGAGAACATATTTGAGATTAGCAGAAACGAAACAGACGCATTTTTCGTGATTCCCCCGCAAGATGTGACGTTCGGTCTACTGCTGTATTGAACCCATGAAACACCCTGACATCCTGCCGAAAGCTTTGCTCGGTTCCCCACCCTTTGTTTTGTCCGAAACTTTTAACGAACCCGGTATATTATTCTCCTCTCGTCGCGGTTTACCTGACATTTGCTTTTTGCTAATTTTTTCCATGCCGCCGCCCCCTCTCGCTGCGGATCTAAGGGTGAATTTCACCCATGCCCAAAGCTTGTTCTCCCCTCCCATCTCCATCGAAGCATTGATGCTAGTCCCCGGTGCCGGCTACCGTGACACCCTGTCTCAATCCAATCTTGCGCAATATCGTGCACTCGAACTCGACGTTACGTCTATCGTATGCATACAACACCAAGCAAATGCTTCGTCAAATTTCAAGGCTTTCGTCCCACCACGAGACACGGCTTTTTTGCCTCCGGGGCTGGTAGTTGTAGCCCCTTTAGGGTGCGACCATCGCATGCTCTTGTTCCTGCTTGATTCAACCAAGTTTGTGTTGCCCCTTGAGAACACGGTTGCGGCAGTAATGCGGGTGGAACAAGCCGGCGCTTTGCCCTTCCTGATCAATGGCCCCTCGCTCTTCCCCTGTTTGCGTCAAACGGTTTCCGCTCGTCGTTGCGATACACGAACCTTTTTCTCAACAAACAGGAGGACCCGCACCGGATGGTCCGCGGTGCCCCCGGCGGCACCGTGCTGGCTCTCGGTGATGAGGCCATGTACTTCACCGACTCCGCGGTGTTCGTAATCGAAGAGCCCAGTACCGACAAGAACGACAACAGCAACAGCAACAGCGAGGCGGCCGGTGGCTCTCAGGGACACTCTGCGGGTCTCGCTCAGGAGCAGCTGGAGCGGGAGTTGGAAGCAAGCGGGTTGGACTTGGTCACGTACCTGACGTCTTGCGACGACCTCCCGAACGAGCGAACCCCTTTCGAAGGGATGGTGTCCGTTACGGCAGACATTGTGTGCCCCGAACCCAAGGTACGCGCGTGTGTCTGTTTCGGGCATGCCAGGCTCTGTGGTGTTGCAGCGGGCCGTGAATGTCACTGCATGAGGCCTGTTCGGTTGTGGCAGTATCAAACACTTAAGCTGTAGCCTCTTGTCTCTAATTCGGACCGTCGGCCCAAAGGTACATGTTGATGGTTACAGTCGACAGGTGACCCTTTTTGGGTTCGTGTGCTCTACTGAAAGTGGTTGGGGGTTTGGTGCTTGAAAATTAGGAACTTGGACATGCTATCGAATGTCGCATCTCGGCCGATAATGTACCCCGTCCCTCCGGATACTCCGTATACTTGTGTCTGTTGCCAAAGTGTAGAACCACGAGGTAGCCAATCCCATGACAATACCGATAGTCAGCCAAACGGCGAACATGTTTTTCGACCAACAAGTCCTGATGAAGATGAATGCGCGAACACAGAACACAGCCGATAAGCACTACAACATGCATACCAAGAAAATACTTGTAGACTATCCATACAGCGGAGGAGCACTGTTAACCTCTATCACCATCACCAACCGTGGATCATTGCCGGAGCAGGTGATCGAGATCGCAAAGGGAGGCAGCAATGTCCTGTTCGTCGCCGTCGATGCCCTGTACACCAAGAACGTCCGCTTCAGCGTCCGGAAGGGCGAAAAGATGCACATCCGGGCCCCGGCTCTCACTTTCGAGAGGGAACAGGTAGTGTAGCTGTTGAGCGCTGTTTTGGTCTGGCACGTCTCTTTAGTGTATGCATCTCCAGCGGGTATGGCACCTATTCTGAGAGCAGATGTCGTCCCTGACCTCCGTTCCGTTTTTGTTCTGTGCTCGCGAGGCCCTCCTTCCCTTTTTATTCTTAACTTTGTCGATGTCGAAGTGAGACGTCACCTCCCCCCCAGGACTTCCTCTTCCCATGTACACACGTCGTGTCAAATTGTCATATTTTCACCAAGGACATTGTACTGTTTTGTTATCTTTTTGGACCGGAGATGTACAACCTACTTCCTGTCACTCAACGAAGTCCATCAATTTCGCAAAGATCTTTCTTGCTTGCCCTGTTCTCCTCCCTCTCCCCGCATTCGTTCCCCTCTTTTCCCTTGCATCTTTTTTTCACGACGCCCTTGCTTTCCCCTTGTCCAACATATTTTGTGACCATCGCTGGGTAATTTTGCTAGGGCGATACCGCCGAGATCTTCAACTTGCACGGAGAGTTACACCTCCGCGGCGACCAGCACCGTTTCGACGATCTGGTCAACACGAGGACGGTGAGCTCTTGTTGGCTGTCGTTATTGTTGTTGTTGTTGTTGTCGTTGTCGGTGGTGCTTTGTTAGCGACTCCATTGCTACATGTCTCGTGGTCGGGACAGACTTGGGTTAGTCTCTATCTGAACACCTACCTCCACGATCTTTTGAGACCAACCTAACGTGTGCCAGCAGTGCTGCTTTGTTTAGTTCTTTTCAACCAGGAACGCACCTGATTTGCCAGGAGCTGGAGTATCCTTGCACCTATTTGGACCTGACAACGCTCAAGCACCAACTCCGTTGCGACTCAAGGGTGTACATTCCCACCGCTCGAACACCAACCCAGGCAGCTCAACACATGGATGCACCTTGGCACGCTGGCCTTCTCCGCTCACGCGTGGAATAGTCATGTTCAATTCCCTTCAGTTCAGCTCCCACCATCACAAGTTCCGCAACCCATCCCTCACACACACTGAACCTTGTCCTCCGGTTGCAATCGGCCCAAGGCCTGACCCCCCCCCCCCCCCCCCCCCCCCCCCCCCCCCCCCCCCCCCCCCCCC